CTTTCAGTCTTTCAGAATTAACTATGACATAAAGTATACTCTAAAAAGAAAAAACACTACGACACATGGTATTAATTTTTTTATAAAAAAAAAAGAAAAAAAAAACAAACAACGACATCAGGTGGTCACCGCCAATGTTTCTTCAAAGAAAATGCAAGAATAGACTTTTGTAAAGTAAATAAAACTTGAAATTTGATTGGTAAAAAAAAATAAATAAAACTTGAAATTTTGTTTCATTCTGCCGTGTTTTTGCCTTAGGTTTGTGTCAGTGACGAATTATCGAGTAATATGTTATTGGTGTACTAAATATACTTCAATTTATAACATGAATTTTATAAGATTTTAAAGATCATGGAGGTGTAACTTGTATGCATCACATCTAGATGACACAACTTTTTTCTTTTTTTTTTATAAAAATAAAAACACGCAAATTGGACCGTTACTTCTTATAATTGGTCAGCACACTCCAAAAATAATATAAAAGCTTTTATAAATAGTCATTACCGTGCCATTTATCTAGCTGTCTATTGCTGATTTATTGATAAATTAATAGGTCTTTGTAAGTTATTTAGCTTTGCATATCACTCACGGTTACCACAACAAGAACAAGAAATTATTATTATTATTATTATTATTATTATTTTGTGGGCAAGAGATTTGAATTAGACACCGTAAAGTAAAGTCTGAATGTTGATTCCCCCAACAATCAAGCTGCACTTCTTTCTAACAAGTGGCTGAGAGTCAGCAAGTAACCTTGGCCTCTTGCAGGAGGTTTGCTGCCCTCCCGGCTGCGGTATGGCACCTGAACTCGAAGCTACGATCAGATCCGATTGGATTTAATCCGTTCAGATTCTACAAATTCACCTAAATTTATCGTTAAGTTATAGCTGCAACCATAAATTTTAAGTTAATATAGTTATGAACTACATAACCAAGCAACGTTAAACATGATGAGTCGTTTTCAATTAGAAAGCACTAATTAAACTATTTTTCTTCCTCTTCTCGATTTCCTATTTTTTTTTTTTTTTTTTTTTTTTTTTTTTTTTTTTTTTTTTGTGGTTGGGGTTTATTAGGTTAGTGCCTATTGTGAACGATCTAAATGCTCGTATATTTTCATTTACTTATAATTTCTTTTTTTCTTTTGAATCAGGAAATGAGTTTTATGTGGGCAATTTTAAACGTTTTCACTTGATGATGGATATTGGATAACATAATAAATACCCATTAATTTCAACAATTTTAAGTTTCTAGCTACAAAATAAATAAATAAATAAAACCCTTTAAGCAAAGCAACTGTGAGAGATCCCACAAAGCATGCGTATATATGAGAAATTGTAATAATCTACAAGAATGGAGTAGGCATCAGGTCGTTATCTCTTGAGAGAAAAAAAAAATACAAATCAAATTCTTAACAACTTTAATTAAAAAAAAAATCAATTTCATTCAACACATACTTGTAGCCACTACTATACCAAACCACTCTGCACTAGCAACTCTAGAGCCTAAAGCGATATATTATTAATATACTTAAATTATTATATCTATATATATAGATAGAGTTACATACGTAATATAAAAATATTCCATAATCAACACTAATTTCATATTTAGCTAATTCTCAATTGGGAGGACGGTGCTGGGTAGTGTTATTTTTCTCCACTTCTATAATGAGCACTGATTTCATATTTGGTTTGCACAACATTTGGATAAAGATTGATGTATGTTTTTTCTTAGTCTAATTCAGATGTCAAATTGAAAGGAAAATGTTAGAAAATTAGAGAAAAATTAAGGCATTGTTTGAAGTTGGTTTTGTTTTTGTTTTTCACGTTTTTTAAGAAAGAAAAAATGAAAACGAGAGAGAAATAGTCACATTTAATTTTTTTATTATAGTAAAAAATTTTCACATAAAATTACATCTCAACTCAAATTAAAAACTCGATCAACGAATTAAACGTGCCCTAAGTATCTTATTATTAATACATGTCATTCCATATTTTGTTTTTTTGTTTTATTTTTATTTTTCTTTTTTCTTTTCTTGCGGCCCAACTCCACTGGTGATGTCGTCATTGCATTTCCATTAATACCCTTTTCTTTCCGTTCGTTTCTTTGACTGTATTTTTACTTCACTGTGCACTCTTATTATTTTATATATATGTTTTATTTGCAAGGTCATATTAACTAATTAAGTTAAGCAGCAATTAACAGCCCCTCTCTCTCTCTCTCCATAATTAATGTCATCAAATATGTTGACTAATAACAAATAAGAGAGGAAAAGAGTATTGATCAGGGCGACAGTTTAAGAACTGTTATGTGGGAAAATGTGGCGGACGCGTGGGCAAAGTATACCGCGACACGTGGCCTTGATTAATCCCCATCAAGCAAGGAACCCTCGACGCTTGTAGACTCCTCATACCCCGCTGCGAAGGCCCAAGGACGAAGTCCAAGCTAGGGCGACGATCCTTTGTGGCATCGACCAATTGCGCCGTCGACGCTAAGGGATGAAGATCTCTCGACCGCAGAAAGGGCTATCGAAGAAGGCGGTCGGACTAAGAAGTGCTAACGACGAGAGGGACGTTCTTTAGAGGACGTAACGGGTTACGTTCTGAAGTGGAGGTGGTCTGCAAGCATTAATTGCGAGCTGTCAGACCGCTCCCACAGGGGACAGGAAAGTATTACAGGGAAGCACAAAGCCGTAATAGAAGACTAATTAGCTGAGTGAACAGTGCAAATTAGTGGGATACGTCTGGGCCTACTGAGCGAGAGCACTTGAGTGCTTCTAGCTGTGAAGGAAACCCCCTGGGTGAAGAAAGCCCAATATAAAAGGAGGAAGACCCCCAGCAAGGAGGGGGTTGAAAAAACTCTAGCTAAGAACAAAAGTTGTAAATTTTAACTTATCCCAAACAAAGAAATACAAGATTACAGTGGATGTAGCTCTGAAATTTATAGAGTGAACCACTATAAATTTCCTGGTGTCATTTACATATTCGATTCTTAGTAAATACACACACATACGGCCGGTAACCCGAGGGAAAACCGAGAGGTAATCCGGTCGGTTTTTTGTTGGCGAAATTTGACCGTCAACAATTGGCGACTCTACTGGGGAGTGAAAGCGTTCGACCCCCAACAACATAGTTACAAACCGCCGTCCATCCAGGGAGTATCGGGATGGAAGAAGATCTACGCCCGGTCGGACATGAAGTCCCACCTCCAGAAGCACCACGGCCGGACCCGATGTAGATGCAGGCCCAACTAACCACTCTAACCGAGTTGGTGCGTGGGCTAATGACCGTGGTGGAGTGCTTAGATGGAAAGAACTCCATGCCGCCATTAGAGGACGCCCCGAGGCCGCAGAGACCTGCGGCGACTAGAGATCCGAACCACGGTGACCATCCACATATCCAAGAAGGAACCGAAGATAGTGAGAATCACCGGGGCCCTCCTAGACCTCGGCCTTCCCAATCCCCCGGCAGCCGTTTGGAGGCCGCCGGACTCCGAGCTCCCGAAGACCGGGTACCGAGAGGTCCAAGAAACCCCGAGGGGCTATCCCAGAATCCAGGTGGAAACCCGCCAGGAGACTCAGGCTCAATGCAGGCAGGCGGCCAGGCCCGAGGCGGACCCAACGTTCAGAGGGCGAAAGCGTCAAGAGTAGCCGGCTCGGCCATGTCGATAGAAGAAGCACGCGCCATCATGGAACGTATGGCCAGCCTGGAGCAAAACCTGACAGGGGACGTGGCGGGCCTAAAAAAGAATATAGTTCGTGTGGCTGAGGTCGTAAACGTCGATATCACGCCCAGTCGCACACATGACCATCCGTTTACCGAAGAAATAATGGCCCCCCTTCTCCTCGATAAATATAGGTCGCCGTCGATCCCGCCATATGATGGGCAAGGAGATCCCGACGACCATCTGGAGATGTACACTGGGCACATGCTCTTCCACGGTTACGCCGAGGAGATCATGTGCCGGGCCATTCGAAACCATTTGACGGATTCTGCCCGGAGGTGGTTCCGAACGCTGAGGCCAAACTCTATCTCGAGCTGGGACGAGTTGAAGGAAGTGTTTTCCTTCCAATTCATAGGGGTCAAAAAGTATGTCCCCCTAAAGCAGAATCTGATGACGATATACCAAAAGCCAAACGAGTCACTGAGGGAATGGCTCGCAAGGTATGGGGAAGCTGTCGCCGCCACGATGGACATAACAGATAGAGAAGCCTTGATGGGGGCCTTATCTAGCATGAAGAAAATTACCCCGTTCAAAAGAGAGCTAAACCAAAAACCTCCGACCAGCTACAGGGAATTTTTGGCGTGAGCACAGGGGTACATCAACGCTGAAGAGGCAGACGCGAACGACCCCGAGCACCGGACCAACAAGAATAAAGGAACCGAACAAGGGTCAGCGCCTGCGAAGCAGGATGGGAAGAAGCGTCGAGGCAGAAGAAACGGGGACAAGCAACCCGCCGCAACGACGAACGCTCTGAAAGCCAAAAAGCCGAGACAAGAGGATACTCGAAGGCCTCGACTATTCCAAAAGTACGATTCTTACCATGAGTTAACGGTAGGAGTCGAGGAGGTCTTCAACCAGGTCAGCCGCGGGAACTTGCTGCGCCGACCGGAAGCAATGAAGTCAGATCCCAGCCGAAGGAATCAGAAGAAATTCTGTAGGTTCCACGGCGATGTCGGCCACCACACCAACGATTGTGCCGACCTCAAGGATGAAATCGAAAGATTGATCCGCGAGGGAAGGTTACAAGAATTCAGGGCTAAGCGAAGGCCCCGCAATGACGGCCATGGTGGGCAGAATGACAGTTGACGTCGAGAGCAGAACCAGCGCCCAGAGGATCGCGAACCCGTCGGCATCATAAGGACTGTCCTCGGCGGTCCCTATATAGGAGGAGACTCAAGGAGGTCTCAGAAGGACTACGCCCACGAGGCCAGGGGGTTTATCAGGAGCGATTCTGGAGCGTCTCCGCCACAAAAACCCCAAGGTACAGCCACACCGATATGGCTTTTAACGAGGATGACGCTAGTGGGGTTCATTTCCCCCATAACGATGCCTTGGTGGTGGAAGCCATGATAGGAAACCACACCGTGTGCAGAATTCTGGTGGACAATGGGAGCTCGGTGGACCTCCTATACTCCGATTGCTTGGAGAAAATGGGAATCCAAAAGGAACAACTGGAAAAAACCTCCCGACCGCTATATGGTTTCACTGGGGACTTTGTTATCCCACAAGGGACTATTCGGCTACCCATAACCGCCGGAGAAAAACCTCGGCAGGCAACTACAATGGCCAACTTCATGGTCAGAAAAGGAGGCTCCCAGTATAACGCGGTGGTCGGGAGACCAACCCTCCAGGCATTGAGGGTAATAACCTCCGTCTACCACCAAAAAGTCAAGTTCCCCACCCCAAATGGCATGGGAGAAATGAAGAGCAACCAGTATGAAGCCAGGGTTACGTACTCTGACGCCCTGTGCGGATACGACCAGCTAGGAAGACAGGAGGCAAGGATGGTTCATCAGGGCCTCGTCGAAGACATTGACCCTAGGATCCAAGAGGACGTCACATGGTCTCAACCCGTCGAGCAGTTGGAGGAAATCCAAGTTGATGAAGCCGAGCCCACCAAGGTACTAAAAGTGGGCTCAGGCTTAGCTCCGTCACTTAAAGGTGAGATCGAAAATTTCCTCAGGCAGAACCTAGATGTCTTCGCCTGGAATCATTCTGACATGAAAGGGATCGACGCCGAGGTAATATGTCATTCCCTAAACGTCGACCCCTCGTATCCACCCAAGCACCAGAAACGTTGGCCGATGAACCCCGAGAGATATAAAGCGCTGAAAGAAGAGGTCGACAAGTTGGTCAAAAATGGGTTCATCCAGGAGGCCCATTACCCGCATTGGGTATCAAACCCCGTTCTAGTGATCAAACCTAATGGAAATTGGAGGACATGCGTTGACTTCAGCGACCTCAACAAAGCCTGCCCAAAGAATGGCTTCCCACTCCCTCGGATAGACCAAATGGTCAACGCCACGGCGGGACACGAGATGCTAAGCTTCATGGATGCCTATTCCGGATATAACTAGATCCCTATGCATCCAACTCCCATGCATCCAGCTGACGAGGAGCACACATCCTTCATAACCGACAGGGGTTTCTACTGCTACAAGGTGATGCCCTTCGGCCTAAAAAATGCAGGGGCAACCTATCAGAGGCTTGTGAATAAAATGTTCGCTCAACAGCTCGGCAAAACAATGGAGGTCTATGTCGACGACATGCTTGTAAAAAGTTCTAGGGCCAGCCATCACGTCAATCATCTGGGGGAAATGTTTGGTGTATTAAGAGAATACCACATGAAGCTCAATCCCCAGAAATGTGCCTTTGGACTTGGGTCGGGGAAATTCCTCGGCTTTATGGTTAGCAACCGTGGGATTGAAGCTAACCCCGAGAAAATCAAGGCCCTATAGAACATGCGGTCCCCGACAAAGCCAAAGGAAGTACAAAGATTAACAGGATGTGTCGCCGCCCTAAATAGGTTCGTGTCAAAGGCGACCGACAAATGTGTCCCCTTCTTCAACGCTTTGAAAGGGAGCAAGCGCTTCGAGTGGACACCACAATGTGAAGAGGCCTTCCAAAGATTGAAGGACCATTTGGGCAAGCCCCCAATTTTGTCAAAACCAAACACCGACAAGGAGCTTAGTCTATACCTCTCCATGTCCCAACATGCCGTAAGCTCCGTATTAGTGAGAGAAGAAGAAAGGGTGCAATTGCCAATTTACTACGTGAGCAAAAGGCTCCTCGACGCCGAGACGAAATACAGCGAAATGGAGCGCCTAGCCCTCGCCCTAATGGTAGCTTTAAGGAAGCTTCGGCACTATTTCCAGTCTCACACAATACGAGTTCTTACCAACCACCCACTAAGGCAGGCTCTACAAAAGCCCGAAACTTCCGGTCGACTCCTCAAGTGGTCGGTAGAATTAAGCCAGTTCGACATAAAATATGTGCCAAGGGCTGCGATCAAGGGCCAAGCGCTCGCCAATTTCTTGGCTGAGTTCTCTCATAGGCCTACTCCCGCCGCACTTGAAGAAGTCGAGGTTGTAGAATGGAAGCTCTACGTGGATGAAGCGTCGAGTGAAAACGGGTCGGGAGCCGGCGTCCTGTTAATCAGCCCCGAAGGCCACAAAATTACCTCGGCGGTCTGATTTAAATTCAAGGCATCCAACAACGAGGCGGAATATGAAGCACTAATTGCCGGACTACGGTTAGCCAGCCACCTAAAGATTGAAAGACTCAGCGTCTTCAGCGATTCTCAATTGGTTGTCGCGCAAGTAAAGGAAGAATACCAAGTGCGCAGCGAGAAGATGAGAGCGTACTTAAGAAAGGTAAAAGAAGAACTCGTTAAGTTTAAAAATTACGATATACTCCAGATATCATGGACCGAAAATACAAGCGCCGATGCTCTGGCGAAGCTAGCATCTTCTTGAGAATCTGACACACTAGGGGTCGTCCCCATTGAGGAATTAGAGCGACCAACTATAGAAGAAAAGGTGGAGGCATTAATTGTCTGAGTAGGTGAAAGTTGGATGACCCCCCTCATCCAATACCTAATGGACGTACAATTTCCAAACGATAAGGACGAAGCCAGACGGGTCAGGTATAGAGCTGCTAGGTACTTATTGTATGACGGCTTGCTCTACCGACGAGGCTACTCAACCCCTCTACAGCGGTGCTTGGATGAAACCGAGGCACAGAAGGTCCTCCACGAAATCTATGAAGGGATCTGCGGTAACCACTCTGGGGGGCAGTCTTTGGCTCTAAAGGTTTTGCGGCAAGGATACTACTAGCCCACGCTAAAAAAGGATGCTTTTCAGTACACCTGACGTTGCGATAAATGCCAAAGGTATGCCACAATTCCTAGAGCGCCCCTAGAACATTTGACGTCCATTCTTAGTCCTTGGCCTTTCGCTAAATGGGGGGTTGACCTGATCGGGCCGTTACATCTTGCACCCGGAGGATTTAAGTTTGCGATCGTTGCAGTGGACTACTACACAAAGTGGGCAGAGGCAAAGGCCCTAACTGCAACCACGGAAGCGGCCTGCACCAAATTCATGTGGGATCACATCGTATGCAGGTTCGGGGTTCCCCACTCGATAGTATCCGACAACGGAAAGCAGTTTGATAACGCCTCAACGCGTAGGTTCTGCGATGACTTTGGCATCCGGAAAGATTTTTCGACGCCGATCCATCCACAATCCAATGGACAAGTCGAGGCGGTCAACAAGATATTAAAATATACCCTCAAGAAAAAACTCGACGATCTGAAAGGGAAATGGGCTGAGGAACTTCCCAAGGTCTTGTGGGCATACAGAACGACGAGCCGAACAACTACGGGTGAAACGCCAGAACCGTCATCCATAACGACGATGACAACGCGGAAGGCATGAACGGAGAACTCGACTTATTAGAAGAAAAAAGGCTCGACTCCCAACTACGTTTCGCCGCCTATCAGCAAAGAACGACGCGATACTACAACAAGAAAGTTCGACAGAGGAGGTTCGTCCCAGGGGACCTAGTACTAAAAAGGGTAACGTAAAGCACGAAACCCAAAAATACTGGTCCACTGGGCCCAACTTGGGAAGGGCCCTACAGCGTAAGAAAAATGCTACGTCCCGGCACCTATGTTTTGGAGAGCCTCGACAGTAAAACGATCCAACACCCGTGAAATGCAGAACAACTAAGACTGTACTACCAATAATGTATGAAATTCCCGCATATCTCAATTGTACATTCTTTACAAATTGAATAAATTGATATGTTTGCAGAAGGAAAAGAATTCACCCCTTAATAACATGTCTGCCCAAAAAATATATATCCACGGGTTAAATAAAAAGACTTAGTGAAATTCCAAGGAATTTCCTAAGACGACGACCCCAAGGGGCACAATCGACGTCAGATCCTCCAAGGAGGAACGACAAAGACTTAGCGAAATTCCAAGGAATTTCCTAAGACGACGACCCCAAGGGGTACGCTCGACGACAGATCTTCCCGAAAAGAAAGGCGAAGACCTAATGAAAAAGCAGCAATTGCGAATCAAGGTATAAATTAAAACTGTTGTCCTTTGAATATATGTATATATAAAGAGCATATAAAGTAAAAGATGTCCATATCAACAATAAAATTACAAAACAAAAGGAGGCAGGTAAAAATCCTTCAGGCCTCGCCGGCAGTCGCCGAGTCTTCGCCGTCACCAGGCGGGGAAACGTTGTCATCACCAACAGGGGGGGAAACGTTGTAATCACCAACAGGGGGAGGAGAGTTATAAAGGAAGCTCAAATCCCACTCAGGACGCTCTTTCTTGATCAAGTCGACAATTTGTTGACCCGCAGATTGAAAATCCCTGGTACGGATGTCAGTGAGTTCCTGAGAAGCCTTGAACTCCACAATAATCTCGGTATGCCTGGCGTCGAAATCAAATGCGGCTTCTGCTTCAGCTTCCCTCTTCCCCTCAGTTTTCCCCTCAACAAAACGTTTCTCTGCTTCCCCAACTGCTTCAGACAGCTTTTTGTCAGAAAGGTCTGCCCGCTCCTTGAGACTCGCGACTTCGTTTTTCAACTTCCGTAGTTCATCTTCCAGACTCGCCAGCTTGGCCAAGGCCAAGTCCCTCTTCTCAACAGCATCATCCAGTTTCTTTTTGGCATCAGAAACAAGGGACTAAAGCTTGGCCTCCAGGTCGTCTATCTCATTTTTACGCTCCTCGGCCTTGACAAGGTCGAGGAGGTTGAGAATAGAAAGAACCAGGCTCTGAAAAGTTGAAGGTCAGAAAAGCAGAAATATAAAACGGCGAGTTAAAAAAAAAAGGAGTCTTACATGAATCTGGAAGGAAATCTGTTTTCGCTTACGGTGGACCAAAGAAGAGTGGGCGGCAGCAACCCAATGTGGCTCAAGGAAGGACTCATAAAGAGCCTGAAAGATGAGGGAGAAGCGAGGGGGAAGTTTCAGCATCGCCCCAATCTCGGCATCAGATATGTCCGAGACTTGGAACTTGGGGTCCATAATTTTAGCCCCTGGAATAAGCACGCGCTCTCTCGGTGCTAGCGGAATGTTGACGTCAGGAATTAGGACCGTCGGCGTCCACGTTTCTGTCATCGGCGTTTTTTCCCTGCGACTCTTTTTTCGCACAAGTTCCGTCTTCGCCTCCGACCCCGAAGGACCCTTGGTCTTCCTGCTCTTTGGGACGCGGGAAGAAGAAGCTTTCTCTTTTCCCTTCGACGGGGGCGGATGGCTCGGCGGGGGCTGTTGGTCTGACGGCGGCTGCTGGCTTGTCCTCGACTGCTGGCTGCCGGGAAGTTGGATCTTCAAAGATGCCATCTCTGCAGGAAACGACGAGGTTAAGATACACACAGCATTGGGAGAACCCAAGTCACAATCAAGAAAGACGTCGAAAGCAAAGAATACCTTCGTCGCTTAGGTGAAAGTATTGACGGACGGCGTCTAAGTCAGCGGGGTCTGGGAGATCAAGGATTAGACCAGCGTCGCGAAGATTTTTCTGAGTCAGGAGCGTGTCGATATGGCGAACCTCTGACGGGAAAGAAAAAGCCTGTTCAATCCTAGCTAAGCTATTCTCAGATAACTTCGACCGGTCCTGACTAACTATAATACGAACGGAATGTCAGAAGAAGGACGGAAGAAATCAAAGTCAGATAACCGAAAGCCAAGAAACTTACCCATGTTACCAAACGCCACCTGCACCTGCCTTCGACGGGGCAGGCGGTCGTTGGGATGAAAGTTGAAGGGCCCCTGAATCATGAAGAACATGGGCTTCCACCCATGTGACGACGAGGGGGTGCCCAGTATAAGCTTCTCAAATCTGGGCTGGGACCTCCCGTGACCACTCAAAAAATACCACCCCTCACACTTGGCGACGTGGCATAACTTATACATAAATCAAAACTCGTCTACAGGGAGGTCCATGTCGAATCGCTGATGCCATAAAATCCAGGCACCAGCAAAGCAGTACCAGAAGTTTGGCGCCAGTTGGGCGGGGGAAATGTCATAAAAATGGCAGTACTCTTTTACAAAGGGATGC